GACGGCGACGACGACGACGACGACGACGGCGGCGACGACGACGACGACGACGACGGCGACGACGACGACGACGACGACGACGACGCCGACGACGACTCGAGCCCCGCGCAGCCGCCCGGGCTGGCGGCGGGCCCCCCGCGGCTGAGCCGCGGGCCCGTCGCCGCCCAGGCGCAGCCCGCCCGCGTCCAGGATGCCGCGGAGGGCGGCGTGGCCCTCGGGCAGGGCGCTGCTGGGGTCGTACTCGTGGAAGAGGCCGGCGGGCTCCTTCGAGGTTCGAGACTCTCAGATCCTCACTCCCCCTCCCCTCCTCCTCCTCCTCCTCCTCCTCCTCCTCTCCTCCTCCTCCCTCCTCCCTCCCCTCCCCCTCCTCCTCCTCCTCCTCCTCCTCCTCCTCCTCCTCTCCTCCTCCTCCTCCTCCTCCTCCTCCTCCTCCTCCTCCTCCTCCCCTCCCCCTCCTCCTCCTCCTCCTCCTCGTCCTCCTCCTGCTCCTACCCTGTTCTTCCCTCCTCCTCCTCCTCCTCCTCCTCCTCCTCCTCCTCCTCTTCCTCCTCCTCCTCGTCCTCCTCCTCCTCCTCGTCCTCCTCCTCCTCCTCGTCCTCCTGCTCCTGCTCCTCCTCCTCCTAGTCCTGCTCCTCCTCCCGCCACAGCCTTGCGTGCCCAGGCTCGGATCAGACCCGCAGGGCCGATAAACTGGCGTCCGAGGTGTTGTCGCGGTTGTTGGCGGTCTAGCGGGAGATCCTTTTCTGTGGCGAGCGGGAACGGGCTGTGCGCGTTCCTAGAAGATGTCGTCGCCAACAGACTAGTGCCGTCGAGCGGTTGTGTAGATTGCATGACCGTGGGCACGATGCTCAGTTGCGGAGTGCGGTCATTAAGTGTGCTATGTGCTTCAGGGGGTTCCCATTGAGAGGGAAGCTGGCGGATGTCTGGTCTGACCCTTGCAAGCCGCGCTGTCCTGTGCAGCAGAAGATTCAGAGCGTGCCCCCGAGGCCTCCTGCTGACCCGAGGGGGATGGACGACCCCGTCCCAGACGACCTCGCAGCAGTGCCTGTCGGAGGGGCGGCTCTAGACCACCCGTTGGCCGAACCGTTTGATGCGTCCCATCAGTTTGCGGTGCTTCGAGGTGTTTTGTCCTGTGAGGTCTGCGGCGGATTCTGCACAGTCCATCCCCCTCGGACCCTCTCCGGGCTCTGCGGTAAGCCTACTTCTGCAGGCCGTGAGGTTTTGCCGCGGCTCTCTAGAGGGCTGCCCCCAAAAATCGGGCACTTCTTCCCCTGATGTGTGATTTGATGTTCGAGCGGCCTCCGTAGAGGAGGATGACGCTTTAGATAGAATTGGAATTGGAATTCGAATTTCCTCCTCCTGCTCCTCCTCCTCCCCCATCCCCCTCCTCCTCCTCCTCCTTCTCCTCCTCCTCCTCGTCCTCCTCCTCCTCCTCCGTAGCCATTCTGGCTCAAGATGCATTGTTGCTCAGGGCAACGAGTGGATACCTCTAGTCCGAGGCTAGTCACCGCTGTATTTCGGCCTGTTCGCCCAGGTCTGAATCCAGAGGCACCAGGGTCGCTGGACGTTTTCACGCTACTCCCATAGAGAGGATTCCTCGACGATGGGAAAAAAGTATGGGCAGCAGTTCGCCTGGTGCTCGTGCGGGAAATGGAACTACAATTGGCGTATCATCCAGAACGACTACACTTGTGCCTTTTGCAAGGAGCCGATCGAAACCTACAAGCCTGGGGAGGAGAAGAGATCGGCCCAGCCAGGGTCTCGGGCTAAAGCACCGTGGAATCGTGATCGCGACAAGGTCGAGGGCACCACGCCTTCTACCAAGGCCCTCCTCGAGCAGCTGCCACCTGGGCTTCGAGGACCGGCCACTGCCCAGGCACTCCAGCTCGAGATGGAGGCGTGCGAGAAGGCACAGAGAGACAAGAACACAAGCAAGCCACAGTCGGCCAGGCAGAGGATGCTACGCTCAGACACGGGGCACGAGCAGCAGACCAGGAAGCTCACCAGGTTGGCGGCCAAGCATGCGGCGGCACAGAACCACCTGGATGACTGCGAGGAGGAGCTCAACGACCAGGCGATCCTGGCCCACATGGCCGAGAAGAGCGCGACGCCGCCTACGCCGACTGCCATGCGCTCAGAGGCGCCGAGGCAAGGGGGGAATGCCAATCCCAACCGCACCTCGGATGGCCTCACAGTTTTGTTTGCCGTCGACGAAACGTTGTTTGACGACGTTGAGGAGTTTGAGGATGAAGCGAAACAGAGTCTTTTGGATTGGAAAGCACATCTGCAGGCTCACCGCCAGGCCCTCTTGGAAGGCCAGAAGAAATTCGAGGCACTCCTGGCGGACATCAAGAAGACGGTGGAGGCGCCTGCAAACAAGAAAAGGAAAGCGGCATCGGGAGAAGCAGTACCAGTACCAGGTGGAGGGGCAAAATCAGCGGACCCAGATGCCGACATTCACAAGGAGGAAAGCGTCAAGCCAAAGGCAGCTTAGCTCTTGACGAAGATGAGCGACGTGAGGCAGCAGAGAAGGTCAAACAGGCAGCCAAATACGCGCAGGCAGCCACAGCAGCAGGTACCAACTGCAGCTTCGAAGAGGCCAGGAGGAGGCTGGCTAAGAAGGGTACTGGCAAGTCTGGTGCTGGCAGCAGTGGTGCTACTCCACCACACGTTTGATACGAAGTTCCTCTTTGGTAACATCACAAAGTGGGGCCCCCAGGCGGCTCGTTACATTCACAAGGTCAAGGATATCTACAAGGTCATCGCTCTCTCTCTCTCTCTCTCTCTGAAACTCTTGTGGAAGAGGAGCGGATCCCGTTGGAAGGAAAATTAATTTGCAAATATGGGCGGAAGTTGTCTGCCACTCCAGCGTTCCCCAAGAATGCGGGTTATTCGGGTGGAGAATGGGTTCTGGAAAGATCTCATGTAGCTACTACCACCCTCGAAGCAGTCAGGAAGGCCAGTCGGGATATCGGCAAAAAGGACCCGTTCCGTGGGTTTGCGCCGTTCGTTTGGCATATGCAGTCCGGAAGATGTATTGATCATATCATCTTACCTCCTCCCTGGCATGGGCATTGTGAGGAAAAACGAGGACACGATGAAGGCGTTGGCCGGTTTCTTGCGTATGGTCACCGGCCCATGGATTATCGTGGCAGACTGGAACATGTCTCCACAATAATGGATTGATTCAGAACGGCCGAGCAAGACGAGCGGCGAGACCGTGATCCCAGGTGTGGCCATCCCGTGCGACAAGGGTGCAAAAGGTGGGCTGTATGATTCTGCGATGGTCAAGAGGGGCTTTCAATCACGTGTACCGCTCCATGCTGTCACGGGTGTACCATGGGCCACACATTGCGGCATAGAGGCAGCAGGAGGTGGAGGAGGAGGAGGAGGAGGAGGAGGAGGAGGAGGAGGAGGAGGAGGAGGAGGAGGGAGAGGAGGAGGAGGAGGAGGAGGAGGAGGAGAGGAGGCCGCTCGCCGCCCGCCGCTGGCCTGGAGAGCCCCCCCGCCCAGGGGCCAAGGAGTCCGGCCTCCGGCCCTCACCCGTGCCTCTGCCTCCTTCTTGGAGCCTGCGTCTTGGGAGGGAGGAGGAGGAGGAGGAGGAGGAGGAGGAGGAGGAGGAGGAGAGGAGGAGGAGGGAGGAGGAGGAGGAGGAGGAGGAGGAGGAGGAGGAGGGGGAGGGGGGAGGGGGAGGGGGAGGGGGAGGAGGAGGAGGAGGAGGAGGAGGAGGAGGAGGAGGAGGAGGAGGAGGAGGAGGAGGAGGCAGTTTATCGCAAGCCCAAAGTACAAGCAGCAGCCAGCAGCAGCAGGAGATCGAAGAAGAGACAGCAGGAGCGAGAGCGGCGCGCCGCCTCACTCCCGACGCCGCCACAGGACCCCGTGATCGAGATGGTGGAGTTCATGGAGGAGGACAAGGAAGTAGAGGTGGTTAAATGTCACACTCAAAAGGAAGAACGGCAGATTGGATGCCAGGCTGCTAAGAGCATCATGGAAGAATGACTCGATGTTTCGGGACTCCCAGTTCCAGAAACATAGATGTTGTTACGGACTGACACTCAGAAGTCCATTGATATGGAATACGGGTCGTGGGGCACGGCGCTGGAAGAAACTATCCTGAATCAAGAGAAGGAAGACAAGCGGATGTGCAGAGGCAGGCGCAATGGGTTCGCTTTCGAATGGAAGTCTTCAAAGTCGACGCCTGGCAGAAAGCACATTGAGGATCCGATTTCTGAGAACCGGAGTATCATGAGCACCCTAGTCAGCAGATTCAGGAAATTTGTCGGCCTGCAGCTGGACTGGGACCAACAGCGTACCCCGCTGGAACGGATTAGATCGCTGGGCTCAGTCATACTGGCAGGTTCCATTACATATTACTTTGGTAGAACGGGCGAGCTGGATCACCAGAGATGGCAGGACATGATAGTGTAAATGCGGAAAGTCTCTGAAGCTACCTGGAAGAAGGGTTACGAGCAGGATCATACTCAGCACAGGCAGTCCAACGGCGTGCGGGGCAACGCAGATAGTACATTGGACCCAGGAGTGGCCAAATTTATCAGCAGCATCCCGCACTACCAGTGCTACCCGTACACTAGGGTGGCCTCTGGGACCTCTGCTGAGGAGTTGCAGGACATTTAATCACAACAGCAATCTTCCAGTGAGGCGTTGATCAAGGAGGCTGGGCCGACCGCGTCCATGTGCGATTATGAGCTGGACTCCTTCGGGCAGGAGAAGGACCTGACGGGTGCGGAGGTAGGTGAGTTCCCTGTGATGCGAGAGCTCGAGCAATCCGACGGCACAGTCACGGATGCAGACTACGGCCTCGTCAACAGCCTAATAGGCAACTGAGGGAGGAAGCCTGCCTTCTCTTCCCTCGGTGATGGCAAGTTCCCTGTGGTGAGGGAACTCGGGCTATCCGATGTCACAGTGACGGATGCAGAGCACGGCCTCGCCAACACCCTACTTGATGACCGAGGGAGGAAGCCTGTCTCCTCTGCCCTCGGTGATGTTAGAACGCAAGTCCCTGTCACTCCACGTTGTGGCAGGGCTCGGTCGCCTCACGCTGTGCTGAGAACGCAAGAGTCCCTGTCACTCCGCGTTGTGGCAGGGCTCGGTCGCCTAACGTCTTGCTGGAGACGGAGTTGGAGGCCTCGGCCGGATGCCAGCAGACGGGCGTGGAGGCCGGCTTGCCCGCGGGCCCGCCGCGAGCCTCTGGAGGTCTCCCCTGGAGCCGGGGGCTGCTGCTGGCGCGAGGCGCGGAGAGCGCGCCGCTACTGGTGGGGCAGCGCGGGCGGGGACCGACCACGCCCCGCCCGAGCCGCGCCGCCCCCGAGCAGCGGGCAGTGGCCAGCAGGACGGCCCAGGAGCGAGGAGGAGGAGGAGGAGGAGGAGGAGGAGGAGTGGGAAAGAGGAAGAGGAGGAGGAGGAGGAGGAGGAGGAGGAGGAGGAGGAGGAGGAGGAGGAAGAGGAGGAGAAGGAGGAGGAGGAGGAGGAGGCCAGCACGGCCGAGCGACCGCTCCGTGGCAGAAGATGTGCCAGGCGGCCGGGTCCCGACGGCGGGTGTCAGCAACGGTTTGAGCGCGAGGCCCCCGTCAATGCGGCGGGGGGCCCGCTGCCTCCGCGCTCGATCTCGCGAGGGGCCCTGTCGAGCAGCTCGAGGGGGCTCACGGGGAGAGCGCGCGGGACCTGGCCCCCAACGGCGATGCACGGCCTGAAGCAATAGACTCGGGCGTTGGCAGAACTTGGTTTAGTGGAACCTGGTTTAGTGATTTGTACCGGGGGCGCCCCCCCGCCCCACTTCCACTAACCGGAACTGCCGTCACCCGAAAAACACC